GAGGCGACATTGGTGGAGGGTTGCACTGGATTTTCTCCAACCTCTCCGCATTCTGCGCCTGGCATGTTGATGCCCTTGATGTCGTTGTTCTTGATGTGGAATTAAGTTTATTGAAGAAGCTTGTTTCGAAGTTCCTTAGCAGTTCCTATAATCCAAACTAGCTCTCATACCATGTTAGAATAGGGATCTTGGATAGGATAGAAATGCCTTAGAAGAGTTTGGTAGCGGAAGTCTTTGTAAGAACTCTGATCATAGTGAATGTAGATGACCAAGTTGATTAAGGGGTAGAATGCAAGCAATATAAATAGTCCTAGCTAGCCATGTACTCCAAGGGGTACATTCCCTTATTATAACTGTTTTACAGGCAATTCTACAGTGACTCTGACTATTGCTCTTCTTTTCTTGTTGCCGAGTCGCTGCTTGTAACCGTGCGTACGGTTACGCCTGTTGCCATTCCTGGGTGGTGAGTCAACCGTCGGTCCAGATGGTCAACAGTCGCGACAGTTGACTCTTGCGACTGTTGACCTTCCTGCCCTTAGTATGGGCTGATCTGACATTACTGCCAGTGCTGCTTTGATAGTGACGGATGCGGTATTGCTGCACCTTTGGAAATGTTAAGTATGATTCCCTTCATACTCCAACACTCGCTACTACCGAAGCAACAACAGCAGCAGCATCGGAATAGCCCATACAAGACTGGAAGGTCAACAATCGCAACGGCCAACTGTCACGACTGTTGACCATCTCGACTAAACGACCAATCAGAGAAGAATGGCAACAGGCATGACTGCCTATAGAGTTACATGCAACGACTCGATAACAAGAGAAGAGCAATAGTCGGGTTATGGGAATACCTGTATTACAGTTATGGGAATGTACCCCTTAGAGTACATGGCTAGATAAATATATTTATTGTGTATAAATTCATCTTTTAATCAATCTTGTCATCTACATTCACTATGCACAAGGTTCCTACCGCAATCAAGACTTCCGCTACCACTCTCTAACGCAAACCTATCCTATCCAAGATCCTTATCCTAAGATGGTATGAGAGCTAGTTTAGATTATAGGAACTGCTGTCAAATGTTGTAGCCTGTAGCGAGGCATGTCACGTGGAGTACAACAGTTAGGGTTAGGTTTATGTACCCCAACCAACCTTAGACAAACATCATTCAGTTCTTGACATGATATCACCTAGGTTAGGATCCTGTGGGATCCCGTTCCTCTCGTTTACGTCCGTAGCGCCCGAGCCTGTCCCGTACCTTAGTATTAGTCACGCCCTACCGTACGTGAGCCAGGGCTAACTTTAGTAAAATGACCCGTCTGGCTTTAAGACCGGGTCCTGGCTCTTTGTCTGATTGTCAGACGAAAGATGTAACATTGTCTAGCTTTTCAGACAAATCCTAAGTACTTGTCTGAAATTTTAGATGATGATATATAGCGTAAAATATATAATGGCTGTTTGAAATGTAAATACGCAGCCTCCAGTGGTCTAGTAAGTACAATTGAGACTTGTGATGACTGAGATTTAATTCTGACATTTAATTCTGTTAGGTAGGTGCTGTCAACTTTCTGGTCCGCAGATATTTTGCCTTCAATCAAGAAAATACTCGATGTCTGCAGTCTCAGACAAACTGTATAAGGCTGTATGAGAAATCAAATGAATAGAAAAAGCGTCTCTAAACCATCAGATGAAATAAAAAAACATGTCTACGACATCAGATGAACCAGTAAAAACGCGTTCAGAATCCAGAAATTCAGACAGAAAGTTTCTGATAACGTAGGCCCTGACGTGAGCCTGTCCCATACCATGCCCTAGCACCCGCTGGCCTGCCGGTCGGGCCCGCTTTCCCCGTCGCGTCGCTTCCCCCCCCCCGCTTGTCCCGTCCGTCCGTCCCGTCCCCACCCGTCTCGTCCGTTGCGTCGCGCCACTATAGTCCCGTCAGTCGCGTCACGGTCCTGGCGTCCCGTCCGTCGCGTCGTGCTCCTACCGTCCCGTCCGTCGCGCCTGGCCGCCGCGTCGCGCCCGTCCCGTCCGTCCCGTCGCGTTGCCTGGCGACGTCCCATCCCGTCGCGTCGCTTCCGCCGCGCCCGTCCCGTCCTGCCTGCCGCGCAGTGTCGCGCCGCGCCCAACCCACCCTGCCTGTCGCGCAGTGCCGAGTTGCACGCGTCCCGTCCCGTCCCGCTCTGTCGCGCCGCGCCACGCCCGTCACGTCCCGTCGCGCAGCGCGTCCCATCTAGCCACGTCGCTCCAGTGCTGTCCGTCCCCTCGCCTGTCCCGTTCCGCCCTACCCTACCATACCTTCTCGCCCTAGGCTTCACGTACTGCCCGTCACGCCCTACTCAACCCCACTTGGCGTTTAGGGTTTCGGCAGGTCCACTTCCCACCTGTCCGCTACAGCTATGGCAACCCCTAGAGTTCTGCGCTTTGACGCTGAGGGTAGGCCGCTCGAGTTCTCGGTCTGGCTCCTGCGTGCGCGCCGCCTCCTAGAGAGTCAGGTCCAGGCCGACGAGTCTCTATGGGCGCACGCTTCCGGTGACCTTCCTGCGCCTCCTAATCCTGCACCCTTAGGCGCAGGCGCTAGTACTGCTGACAGAGACCATTATGCACGCTAGCGTGCTGACCAGACAGCGTGGAAATCGCGTGACGTTGCGGCCTGCATCGCCCTCAGCAGCCTCCTCCCTGAGTCTGAGGAGACCCACTTCACTCAGGTTCGCACTGCTATTGGGTTCCTAACTGCGATCGAGGCCCGCTGCGCTACTCCCACCGCTGTCTCTCTTGGTCGACTATTCCTCCCGTTCCTGTTTCCTGACCTCGCCTCGTTTGAGCGCTCTGCTGACTTGATCGCTCACCTGCGCTCGCTCGATTCTAGCTACCGCGCTGCCTGCACTGACGCACAGCTTGCACTGCTCCCTCCCCCCATGGCGATTACTATTTATTTCATCGCCACTAGCCTCCCTGACCACCTTGCCTCGGTTCGTGACGCGCTTCTTCTGAAGCACCCTAGCGAGCTCACTATCGAGGTCCTTGATTCCGCCCTCAAGGACGTCGATAGCAACCTCCGTTCGGTAGCCTTCGACTCTGGTGCTGTGCCCCCCCCCCTGTTTCACGGGTGCACTGTCCCTCAGCTGCCCACCTTTACTGCCTCCCTCGCCACTGCCGCTAATGGAGTGATCGCAACTGCTGTTACGACTTATTCGCGGTCTAAGGGTAGGAGTGGTAGGAGGGGCGGTCAGGGTGCGGGTGGTGGCGACGGAGGTGGCAGAGGTGGCGTGGCGAGCGACTGTGGTGGGAGTGCAGGGGTTGGAGGAGCGCCTCGTGCAGCGGCTAGTGACTCCCCTGCTGCAGCTGGTGGAGGTGACGCTCGGGTTAGTCAGGCACCTGCTGGTCTGCCAGCTGCAGGTGCTGGAGCGACGGCTTGGTACCTGACTCAGCGGCAGCAGCAGCAGCAGCCACTCCTCTCGCAGCAGCCACAGCAGCAGCAGAGGCAGCAGCAGGTTCCGGGGCAGGGGTCAGGACAGCGTTAGCTGTCGCGCAGTGCCGTTCACCCTTCTTGCACCTACCTCATTCAGACAGGTACTCGCCGAGGCCTCCCCTGTGGCCGCAGCCACCCACCGGGTCAGTGCTTTGCTCAGCTCACTGACACACTTCGTGCGGCCTACGGCGTTGATGGTCCTGCACCTGACTGGCTTCCCCTTGTTCAGATGTATGACCCCGCTCTGTGGGGCATGTATGCTTTTGTTGAATCTAGTGCTTTCGACTCTGTTTACTCTAGTGTTGTTAGCTTAGGTGCTAGTGTTGCTGAGGTGCCTGTTGCTAGTGTAGGTACTTGGGCGTGTAAACACTAGTCCAAGAGTTGTTTCGGAGGACGCTTCGCTGTCTTTCACTTTGGACTCCGGAGTTTTGCACTGTTTCTTCTGCGACCACATGACGCTTACTCCGCTTCCTGCGCCGCTCTCTGTAGCACTGGCTGATCCCACTTCGGGACCAATCACTTCTCGCTACACCACTACGCTTCCGTGCCCAGCTGATCCCTCGGGCTTCCTGACAGGCTTACACGTCCCCTCGTTCTCCAGGAACTTGGTGGGTGTGAGGCCGCTCGTGAGTAGTCACGTGGGTGTTTGGAGTAAGCCTTCTAGGGAGACTACGGTTTGTGTAGACGGTGACACGTACGCACCTTTGGCCACCTTTACCGCTGAGCCGGGCTCTGGTCTCTACACACTTCACACTGTTCCCCAAGGGCAGCGGCAGCAGCAGAAGCAGCAGCAACAGCAGCAGCAGCAGCAGCCGCAATGGCAACAACTACTGCCCCCGACCCCTTTCACTGCCACCCCTCAGGTCCCCGCGTCTCACCAGGTTGCCGCGTCTCACCAGGTAGCTGTCTCTACTCAGGTCCCCGTGTCTGGTCTTGTTGCTGCGTCTTGCTCCTGCCGGTCGCTTGCCCACCCCACCGTTCTGTGGCACCACCAGATGGGGCACCCGTCCATTCCTCGCCTGCGCGCTATGTCTAGTCAGCGTCTTGTCTTAGGCCTCCCGCGTGTCTTGCCGTCGCTACCACCTTCGCTTGCACCACCTTGCGGTCCCTGCGTCGAGGGTCGGCTGCGCGCCACCCCTCACTCCTCCTCCCTTCGTCCGGCCACCGAGCCCTTTGAGACACTCCACTTGGACGTCTGGGGCCCCGCCTCTCGCCCTGGCCCTGAGCGCGAGCGTTTCTTTCTGGTGGTCGTTGACGACTACTCCCGCTACACCACAGTGTTCCCCAAGGCGAAGAAGTCTGAGGTGACTTCTACGCTGATCAGGTGGTTGCTTACCAAATACTCGTGGTCGTCGTGTCAGCTGTCTTGAAACCGACCACGGGGGTGAGTTTTGCTCCAGCGTACTCGTTGGATTCTGTCACAAGCAGGGCATCCGTCAGTCCTGGACGCTTCCAGAGTCCCCACAGCAGAATGGGGTTGCTGAGCGCCGCATAGGCTTGGTCATGGAGATCACCCGCACCTTCATGGTTCACGCCCATGCCCCCCATTTTCTGTGGCCCTACGCGGTTCGGTACACTGCTCACCAGCTAAACCTCTGGCCACGTGTCTCTCGGCCAGAGGTTTCACCGGAAAGTCTTTGGATCGGGTCCCTTGGTGCTTCGTCGCGCTTTCGTGTCTGGGTTTGCTTGGCACTTGTTCGTGACACCTCCGCGGGCAAGATCTCGCCTCGCGCCGTTCTTTGTGTCTTCCTTGGTTTCCCAAAGGACTCCTCAGACTTCACCTTTTACCACCCTCCCCTTCATCAGTTTTTTTACTCCTGTGACGTCCGTTTCGACGAGTCTATCCCCTACTACGTCAGGTACCCCTGTCGAGGTCTCCCGGTTCCTCCTCCCCCTCTCTTCCTGACTTCCGCTCCCCCTCCTGCTCCCCAAGTACAGCCTCCCCCCCCTAGTCCAGCCCCCTCAGATGTGTCCCACGCTACCCCTACCCCTTCGGTAGCCCCTCAGGTACACCCTCCTTCCCCGCAGTCCTCCTCACAGCCTACTGCAGACCCTGCGGGAGCCGCTGATCGTGGCGAGGACCCTGGAGGTGCTAGCTCTAGAGGAGTTGGAGTTGGAGCTGAGAGCGTACCTGTGCGAGGTCCTGGTTCTGGGGGTGCTGGAGTTGGAGCTGAGCCCGTGCCTGCAGGAGACTCTAGTCTTCGAGGAGCTAGTGTTAGTCGTGTAGTTTCTGGGGGTGCTACGACTAGGGGTGCGCCCTTTGCTGGACCTGGACAGCCTGGGACTAACCTTGTTACTTCTGGTGGTGGTGGCTCTGGGGGTGGTGCGGCTGGTGCCTTGGAGGGTAGTCCTGGGGCTGCCCCTGCCCCGGACACTACTCCGCGCCCGCACCCCTACCCGACCCGGCACTAGGCCAGTCTTCGCCGTGCACGTGAGGAGCAGCTGGAGTTGGAGAGAGAGAGCCTAGAGTTGGAGCGGCAGCAGCTGGAGCTACGGCAGCTGGAGGAGCAGCAGCAGCAGCAGCAGCCGCAGCCGGAGGAGCAGCAGCAGCAGCCGCAGCCGGAGGAGCAGCAGCAGCAGCAGCAGCAGCAGCAGCCGCAGCCGGAGGAGCAGCCGCAGCAGCAGCAGCAGCAGCAGCAGCAGCAGCAGCAGCAGCACTAGCTGGAGCTGCAGCAGCCACAGCCGCAGCAGGAGCAGCAGCAGCCGCCGCCTCCTCCTCCTGTCTCTGGTCTTCGGACCCTCGGTCTCCCCTCTCCCTCTCCTCCCTCCTCCCCCTCTCCTCCCATCTCTGGTCCTCCGCTTCCTCCTCCTGACCCCTCCCCAGCTGTTTTCCCTCATCCTCAGCCTCTGTTGTCCCCTCCTCTTTCTCACACTTGGGTTTCTTGTCGCTCTCCTCGTGCTCGTCCCTCGTCCCCTGTTCCTTTCACTGACCTTCGTACTGCCCTGTTTCGTTCTAGTCCGCCTTATTCGTCTCCTTCTGTCCTTCCTTCTCCTCCTGATTTGGCCCTCACTGCTTCCCTCTCTACTCATGTCAATGACTACTACCGCACGTACCAACCTGTTCTCTCTCGTGTTCTCACCTCTCTTGTTACCAACCATCGTGCTTTTCTGTCCTTTGTCTCCGCTCTTACTGCCGCAGTCCTCTACACGCCGCCTTCATTTCGCCACTAGTCTAGTGGTGACTCCTCCCACCAGTCCTCTGCCCGTCGGGGGTGAGTCTGCCCTTGGCTGTGACGCCCTAGAGGATAGGCAGTTTGAGCTAGAGTTCCTGGCAGCCGCTTCCCCTCATCTCTGTGCCATGCTGCTCGCCCCTGAGGGAGACCCCGACGCCCTTGACATACCGACTCCTCGCACTTACGCTGAGGCAGTGTCAAGGCCTTGGGCCTCTCAGTGGAGAGCTGCCATGGATGCAGAGATGGCCTCCTACAGATCCACAGGCACCTACGTCGACAAGGTTCCCCCTCCTGGGGCGAACGTAGTTGATGGCATGTGGATCTTCAGGGTGAAGCGGCCACTGGGATCTCCTCCGGTCTTCAAGGCGCACTACGTGGCTAGAGGTTTCAGTCAGTTCAAGGGAATTGATTTTTTTTCAGAACTTCACGCCTACGCCGAAGATACCACTCTTCAGGTGTTATTGCACGCAGCAGGACAGAGAGACTACGAGTTACACTCTCTTGACTTCTCTACTGCTTTCCTTCAGGGTAGCCTACACGAGGAGGTCTGGTTGCGTCGTCCCTCTGCCTTCATTGGCACTTTCCCTCCTGGGACCCAGTGGAGGCTGAGGCGACCGGTCTACGGTCTTCGTCAGGCTCCTCGTGAGTGGCACGACACCTTTCGTTCTACCCTGGCTGACCTCGATTTCCAGCCGTCTTCTGCCGACCCGTCGCTGTTCGTTCGTCGTGGCTCCACACCGTTCTTTGTACTGGTCTCTGTCGACGACCTGGTTTTCGCAACTGCTGACAAGGTTGCTTTGGATGACGTGAAGTCCGAACTATAGAAGACACACGTGCACTGACCTTGGTGAGCTGCGCCACTACCTTGGCCTGCAGATCACTAGGGACAGAGCCGCTCGCACCATTACACTCTCACAGTCAGCCATGGTGCAGCAGGTCCTTCAGCGGTTCGAGCTTCAGCACTCCACAATACAGCGCACACCTCTTGCTGTTGACCACAGACTCACTGGACCCTTTCCTGACAAGCCGTTTGAGCCTAGTGCTCCTTATACAGAGCTTATGGGCTACCTCATGTACCTGATGACTTGCACTCGCCTAGATCTCGCCTTCCCTCTCAGCATCCTTGCTCGCTTTGTTGCGCCAGGGAGACACCGTCCTGTTCACTGGACAACAGCTGTGAGGATGGCGAAGTACCTAGCGAGGACATCGATCGTGGGGTTGGATCTTGGAGGGAGACAGTCTGTTGTCCTTACTAGTTACAGTGACTCTTCTTACACTGACGATGCTGAGACTCAGAGGTCTACTCAGCGGTACTGTTTCAGCCTGGGCTCTGGAGCTGTTTCGTGGAGGTCCACCTGTTCCTCCTTGGTCTCGACCTCTACCGCTGAGGATGAGATATACGCTGGAGCCACGGCTGCAGAAGAGTTGCGCTGGTTGACCTTCTTGCTCACTGACCTTGGTGAGCGGCCGAGCTCTGCACCGACCTTGTTCACTGACAACAAGGCGTCGATTCTCCTCTGTCGTGAGCCGCAATTAGAGAGCAGAGTAAAGCACATCAATGTCAGGTACTTTCTTCTGCGAGAGTTGCAGAGGCGTGGACAGGCTCGCTTCGAGTTTGTGGAGTCCGAGGCCAACACTGCAGACATCTTCACCAAGGCTCTTCCGCCTTGTGACCACCAGAGGTGTTGTGTGCAGTTAGGTCTCGTTGACACAGGTTCTCGTCTTGCGTAGTCTTGCGTTCTCTACTTGCTTTTGTTGTACGCTTTGCATATACATTTGTGAACAGTTGGACTAGCCTTGTGGCTCTTTTGCTTGTGCTCAGAGTGTGTTGTTCTGATCCACCTTGAGCTTGCTTCTTTGAGACTGGTCTTGTGGCCCTACTGTTTTGTTGTTGCATGACACCCCTCACTTAGGCTATGGGGGTGTGTCAAATGTTGTAGCCTGTAGTGAGGCATGTCATGTGGGGTACAGTTGTTAGGGTTAGGTTTATGTACCCCAACTGACCTTAGTCAAACATCATTCAGTTCTTAACAACTGCTAAGACATCGTTCTGCAAAACGATATTCATTGACATAAATTCCTTACATACGAGGCTAGCACTATGCCAGGCGCAGATTTCGGAGAAACTGGGGAAAATCCTGTCCATCCGACTTTCAATTTCACCTCAGGAGTGACATCGGTGGATCCAGCGCTCATCGAGCAGCTGATTACCCGCATCAATGCCCTGGAGAGCCATCATCAGCCGATGAGCATTGACGGCTCCAGCTACGCTCGCAGACCTCCCGATCTGCAAGGCCCTCACTCCGAGTGATCGTTTACCTTCGACAAACGTAGAGGTCAAGGACCTGCATAAGCACAACGGCAAGCACATTACGAAGCAATGGTGACAGTACAGAGCAAGTTCTTATCAACCTCCAAGCTCAGAACGTCAACGCTTTTCGATGGGAAGGATTTCTACACCTGAAGCTTTGAGTTCGAGCTCTTAGCTCAAAAGCGCGCAGTTCTAGATGTATTACGACGGATCATTACCCTTTCCAACCAATGGCTCACCTCAGGAGAAGACACAGTAGTACAACGAGTCACTCCTCGCCTACATGGTCCTGATCTGAAACCTGACGCCCGCGGAGCATCTCAGCATTCGCTCATTCAAAAACGAGTGGGCGCCCGCGCAACAATCTTGGGAGCATATGCGCATATGCCACATGCCAACCGACTCAGTGACACTCAGTCGCTTATTGAATCAGCTGAAGAATGTCAGGATGTTCCCTGGAGAAAAGGCAGGGGCATATATCAATCGCTGCATAAACTTAAGGGATCGGTTCAACAAAAGCGGCGGAAACTTCCCTAACGATATGTTCGTCACCATCATCCTTACTCGCTTGAGTCCGGACTGGCGCTACTCCAAGTCGCTCCTTTGCACCCAAAGAACGTTCAGTGAAACTTCACTCTGCGTCTCCCTCCTCGCCGAGCAGCAGGAAATCCACCTGTACAATGAGAGAGGCAACAAGAAGGAGAAGATCGCGTTTTACACAAGCGCAGAAGACAAGAAAACGCTTTTTTTGCAAGTATTGCAAGAAGACTGGACACACCATGAAGGGGTGCTGGAAGCTAAATGGCAACAGGGAGGAGCGCCTCACCAGCAACCTGTTGGACCACCAACGAGCAACCAGACCGGTCTCCTCCCGCCGTCGCCAGCACCTCTCAGGTTCTGGTGCGTATCTCTGCAAGCTTCAAAGGGAAAAACTTCTCAAATCCACTACGAGTACCACTTCTTTTGTAGCTGGGAAGATATGTTTGCAGACCTACCTGAAGAAAGGCCGGAGGCTCAGTTGAGGACGAAGAAGAAAATGACCCCACCTACGACGAGCTGACGGATGGCCGCATGCAATACGACTGGGAAGCACCAAAGTGGAACCATGAGTCGCCACCTGCACGCATCGCACACGACGACGAGGGATATGATTACGAAAATGATCACGGCATGGATAATCATTTAACTCCGAAGCTCGCAAATCTTGCCAAAGCTAAGAAGGACATCAACAACTGGTACCTGGATAGTTGCTGCGGCCAACACATAGTATCATCGAGCAAGTACATTCTCAACAGTGAAGAACTCTTCAATGAAGTGGAGATAACCGACGTCAACAACCAGACGATTTATGCAAGGAGTCGCGGACAGATTTAAATGCAGTCAAACGACACTGGCTACTGCATTCACATTAGTGGCGTTCTCGTTGTGCCGGAAGTTTAGTTCAACCTCTTGTCAGCCGCCCAGCTGATGAAGTGCGGCGTCGACCTGCGATCATTCAAGAACGAGTTTCACTTAATATACGGGAGGAATATTTTTGGAAAGGCAAAGAATAAAAATGGAGTGTTTGTGCTCGATTTCGACTCACCTGGAACTACCGGCGACAGAGACCACATCATCACCTCGATCCACCTGGGCACCCGTCGCCACCGACCTGGAGTCACCTAGAAGAAACAGATTACCAGCGACCGGGACTCGACAGAACCTTCTGCGCGCTCGCCGTGCCTGTTGCTTCAACCACAAATCCTACAGACACTGGACGACAAGGAACAGAAGAAGGAGAAGAAATCAGCTCAGAAGCAACAACTACGGAAGCAAGAGAGAACAACACAGGAGGATGGGGAACAACGGCATGGCCCAATGTTCAACAACCCACCGGCGGGAATACGCAGTTGACACTGCTTGGATCGTCGACAACGCAGCACTTGGTGAAGCCGTCGAAGCCGAAGGAGGATGGGGCAACATCGCCGCGGGATCTGCAAGAACAGAAGAAGAAATACCAGAGGTTACTTAGGAGGCGCCAGAAGAAGAGGAGGAAGAATTGCTGACAGAATACGGACCTCACCTCATCCCCATCACAATAGACGGAAGGGACTACCTTCGCATCGAGGCAAGGGGAGCCGCGATTGGCGACACCGACTTTGAAGAAGGAGAAATCACACAACCGGAAGATCGTCACC